TCCACCCCCTCTGCCACCCCTGCTCCTGCTGCTACTAAAGCTTTGGCTAGATGACACCGAGCCAGGGGAACTAGCACCAAAGATCGTCCGAGCATCTTCTAAATTAACTTCGAGAGTGCCCGACCCCCCAATAATTCTCCTTGTGGGTCTCTGCTCCACCTCTTCTTCCTTTACTTCGACAGAATTTTCCTCAGAGTCTTCCTGTTCGATTCCCATGTCTGCCATGACTTGGGCAGTTACCGACCGCGTGTCTAAACCAGGCGAGCTCGCGACGATCTCGGCCACTCTTTTCATCAGTTCAGCCTCCTTCACGCTCGGTTTCTTCGGAATTTGGTACTCCTTCCTCTCTTTCTTTTTTAGAGTCTGCTTTTTCTCAACCTTCCTTTGGTCGGCTGCTTCATCCCTCTGTTTTAATGAGGATGGCGCCAGTGGCTTGAGAGGTGGAGACTCCCCCGATTTTGCCCCGAGCTTGTTTTTCATCTCAAGTGCATCCTCTTTTATCTTCCTGAGGCCTCTTACTACTCTCTCTTGGTCCCTCACCGCCTGCTCTGTTTCAACACATCTGGCCTCTTTACCTTGCCAGGTATCATTCATCGTCTGCCTGGTAGCTGTGTACGCTTTGAGGTGATCCGCCTTATTGTCGTGAGCTTTGTACTTGTCTTCACGCACTTTTTCTGCTACCGTTTTGGCCACCTGGTCCACCATTCGGGCTTTATCTAATTTTCCCTTAGCCTCTTCCTCCTCCTTTTCGGCTGACTGAACTCTGCCTACCGCGATTTTTGCCTCCTCCGCAAAATATTCATGCCTTTCCTCGAATTCGGCCGCAATCCTGTCTTTCTCCTTTTCATATACCTCCCTAGCCGCGCGCGCTAGCCTAGCGTCTTCCTGAACCTGGTGCAACCGGTTACTCGATTCCAAGAACCTAGCCTGCGGCTCTGCTGCCGTGCGTGCCGCCTTTTGATATTCTGTCAAAGGGACCTGCTGGGGCGGGTGCGAGAAATGTTCTTGCGCCCGTGATTTTCTCGGCTTTTGGCGCGCGACCGTGACCCAAGGGGTCGAAGACTCTGACTGTGTGGGCGACTGCAAGGCTTCAAACCGATTAGACGACCGCAAGGGTGGCCATTCCTTGTCAAGGCTTCCTACCCTCTTCTCTTCTTCGGTTTCTATTGGAGATACTACCTCTTCCTCCTCAAACCCACTGCTGTTGTTGCCTTGTGGTTCAAGGGCGAGGCGCAAATCCGCTTTTCTTTTCTTTCTCTCCTGCTCTTTTTGTTTCCTTTCTCCTTCTATCCTTTTTCTTTCTTTCGCTTCTGCCACCTCCTGCTGCTGCATGTCCATGGCCAACCCCTCCACACTACGCCGCGTCATATCGCGCGTTGTCCTCCTCAAAGTCATTCCATGNCTTCTTCGGTTTCTATTGGAGATACTACCTCTTCCTCCTCAAACCCACTGCT